TTTTAGCATTAGCAGAACAAGCAGGAGGCTGTTCCCAAGATGCCAGAATAAAAGGCAACGACAGAGGCCGCCAAGCCATGAGATCCTCACTCCCTCCCTGCAGCACAGCCGTGGAGACGAGCACTTGGCTAGACCGGCGTGGGGTGCTCAAGAATTAGTCTCACGTCCGCAGAACAAGGCAACAATTTTACAATGCCAGTTTAAACCATTAATAATACTCTGTACAAACCCTTGCAAGCTTCCAATGCTATGTAAACATAAGTGAATTAAAATTATTTTTTCCATCACTGTTTAAAATGTGTGATGTTTTTTTCTAAACGGCCCCATGAGCAAAAGAGAGGGTGAGTCTGAAACGGCTCCCTGGACTCAGGCCAGATCCTAGCAAGTACTTTACATTTCACTCTCAAGATGGTCAGAGCAGAGGTTTAAGAGGCTTTGAACACAAACAGCATTAGGTTAGTTAAGTCCTGCTTTGACCAGCAGTGAGCGCTTGAGACGTAAACAGATTTCATTTGAACCGGGCTTAATGTAACTGGGTTTACAGATTCACAGCTGATTTCAACATACATCAGAAGTGTTGTATACTCAGCGCAGCAGCGTGGTCCGATGGCGAAGGGGGGACGGGCAGTCCGTATTCGTACCACGGCTCCGCCACTGACCCCCGGCGCAACCTTTGGAAGTCCTGGCGGTTCCTTTATCTGCAAAATGGAAATAGCTGACCTATTTCACAGAGCAAAGCTGGAATCAATTAATGTCTAGCCTGCATTTAGGAGAGGCAAAACACTATATAAACATTATGTATCATTTAGCTTCTGAGGAAAAGCCATCGCCTGACGAAAGGGGCCTCTCTTTTTTTTCCTGTTTTTATGAAGTCCAGTTTACACTGGAACAGCCCTCCTGACTTCTTCGGCCCGGTCCTGATCTACATCGGCCCAACGGCAGGAGAAACAAGGACACAAAATACATTAATTTCCCTCACTAATCTGTGCAGGCCTCTTCTGACCACCTTCACTTGGCATCCAGTTGCTGACCGTCCCCAGGGCGACACTGAGGGACAGCATCACGCCGAGCGCTGGGCGTGGGAACGGGCCAGGTTCTGCATCTCGGCTTTTACCTCTTTGAGAAAAACAAACCAGGGCCATTCTTGGAGAGAAGGAGCCGTGTCCCGAGCCCAGGGGCAGCTCAGCCCCACACCATACCTCTCCCAAGGGCCAGCGGGGGCGGTCGGGAAGGGACCGCACTCTGTCCTCGCTCTGCCACCCGAAGGCATTTCTGCCAGAGAGACAGGACAGGATGGGACGGGACGTGACACACGATCTACCTGGCTCCTGTGTACCACCGATCCTGGCCAAAGCAGCTGAGGGATGTCCCAGCAGAGCCAGAGCCTTGCTCCAAGGGTGTCAGCACTTCTTTCAGTTCAGCCCGTACAAAGCAGCAGGAAAATAAAGCAGCAAAAAAAACTTTATAGCGATTGTAGGTTAAGTTAAGGGTGGGAAATGCACTGAGGTATCCTGTTACCCGAGTCAGAGGAGCTAAGTCATGACATTAAGTCACTCAACAGCCTATAAATGGAAATCTTGGTGTCCTGAGCCTGGTGCCTTCAAGCTGCCCACATGTGAGGCGGGGTGAGACCTCCACCAGAGGCACTGGGGTTTGCATGAGGAGGATGCAGGTGACCCCAAGGATGGATCCTCTGCAGAAAGTCAAAGTAAAGTCTTTCAGGCAAAGAAGATGACCCAAACTGCCCTTGGCAGTAACAGTGCGGGAACAGAGCCTGCCCTCAACACGAGGAAGAAGCGTGAAGTCAACAGCACTCATGAGCGCCCTCACCGACAAAGACCTCATAGTTGAGGCCTCGGTTCTCCCCTGATGCTGAGCCACACCTGGAAACGGGAACTATTTTTATAGGTTTTTGTATTTTCCTGCTCGGCCTGTCCATGTTCTCCGAATGCCATTACTTCAGCACGTTGGGCAGTGCCTGGCTCTCCCAAAACCTGCTGGAAGGCCCTTGGCCCCTGAAGCATCCCTCCTGCACCCACAGCACACACCTATCCTGACCTGCTGGAGCTCTTGGGGCCACACGCAGCTATCCACCACTGAAACGAGAGCGGCAGAGAGGTTTCTTCCAAAGCAGCATTATTTCTGCTGGTCAGACAAGCCCATAGGTACCTGAAAACTGAAAAACTTGAGGACACTTTGCCATCCAGATGAACCAACCGGAAAGCGGAAATTCATCAGCAGGGTCACAAGATTTTACTGCTGTCAATGTTTTTGGGTTGCTACCTGTAATTCCTAGGCTTTCCATTCATCTAGAATTATTCATCAATGTCACTGCGACACTTTTCTGGCTTTAGAATTTTATTTTTAGTTAAAACATATCCCAGACCATTTCTAACCAGCATCCTTGCAGGCTGGTTGCCGCCCTGTGGTTTCACGCTATCGGGAGAGTGCTTGCAAGCGAGTTGCTCAGCCTAAACCCTTTCTACAAACACGGGGAGGAGAAGGATTGTTTTTCACATTACACAAAAGTTTTACCATTAAAATAATGAAAACCAGGATCGCTTCCCTGGCGCTAGTCGTGGTGGTGCCCGCCGGGACACGGCGGCGGGAGCGGCGCTGCTGGGTGCTGGCTCGGGTCTGCGGGTGCTGCACCCGCTGCAGGGAGGGGACCCCTCTGCGCTCCCTCCTACACAAGTGCCGGAGGAATAGCACCAATTCAGCGACGCCTACTGCTGCCTGACCCAACTACGCATGATGCCGTTTGCTGCTGTCTCAGCTCGTACTCTTCATAGATGAAGAGATGCTGGTTCAAACGAGCAAACTTCTTTTAACCTTGTCATTATTAACACGAAAGCGTGACAAAATAATCTCTAGGATGCGCGTTCGCTTCCCCCAGCTTGGCTCTGTTGGCGTAGCAAGCGCGGCGGTGGACCTGTGCTCCGAATAAAATCCTGAGGACCCTTTTCCACGTCCCTGGAGCCGCAGCGGGGGCCACGCGTGAACTGGCACAGGTATGGAGCCAAGCCGATGGAAGAAAAAAGGGGAAAGGTTTAAATAACAAATCAGCAAGAAAACCTGCCCAGAGCCTGGGCAGGAGAAGGCACGCACGTCATATTTCTGGAAGGGTGAATGGTGCAGGTGCGCTGGAGGGCAGGTTTGATACCCCGCACTCCTCCCGCTGTCCAGCTCACTGGGAAGCCTCCTATACAACTGTCAGGGAAAAGCAGGTTTTGATCTAGTTTCTCTCCACGAAAACCGTCACAGAATGTATTATAGCACCACATGTGTTTCCATCATGTCGGAGAAGTTTTCGGAAGTATTCCTCATAAAACACAAAATTACTACAAATGAGAACATGAAAAACAAATTTAGTAGGAACTCGTGCCATTGGTTTCTCTCTAGTCCTTTTACGAGGCGCCGCTGTGAGCAGCTGCAAACCCCCTCGAGAAGGACCGAGGGGAGACAGCTGCTCCCTGCTCGGGGCTGCCGTGGCCGGGACCCGGTGACACCACGCCGGGAAGGAGCACCAAGCCGCTGGGCTGGCAGAGCCTCCCACCTTTCATCTGCTGTCAGTAACAGCCCGAAAAAACAGGAAAAGCAGCGTGTTGAGTGCAAAGCCGGCTTTGGGGCACAATAGCAGTGCAAAAGGCAATTCCAAGGCCGGTATATAAAAGACAAGTTCTAAAGAAATCCAGAGAGGAGTTCACTGTTACGACAACAGGCAAGCATGGGAATCCAGGCTGGAGAGGTTTGGGTGGTGCAGGGAGGAACGAGCCCAGCGTACAGTGGGCAGCAGCAGAAGGGGCCTTACAGACAGCAGTCCACCCCTCTCCGTTAGGAAGCCTCAGTACTTTTGATGTGGATCACGGCCATGGCTGGCTCTTGTTTATTTTGCTGCTGAAAGCCATTGCAGGATGATGTTTCCTAGGTGTTCCTCCAATAAAACTGAACGCCCACTGACTATGCAGAATAATAGAGAACACTCATACAAAAGTTATCATGATTTAGAAAAACTCAGCACCCAATACTATACCCATAGTGCCCTCAAAGGTGCAACTTTGCAGCACCCTCATGTCACACCTCGGCAATGCAATTCAGCACAGAGGGAGCCAGACCCTGACATCCAGCACCCCCTATGCACTTTCTTCCCTCTTGTCATCCTCCAGCACTAATTTCTTGGTTACCGCCACTGTGTGCTAAGGGAGGGTAAACCATGAAGAGGACAAGTTAGTACGGCTCCGTTAATCCCAGTTGTCTGTACAACCAGGAATGGGTCACGGTGGCCCTCTCCCTGTTAGCTCACGCAGGTGGCGGCGGCTACCGTGCCCGGGCGCCTCCGTGACGAGGGCCAGCGAGACCCTGTGTACCCACACCTAAAACCGTGCACCGTCCGCACCAGTACACCCTGTGCCGCACGGCTGCCGCTCTGCAGGTTTCCTGTTTCTTTCTCTAATTACCCAAAGCAGCGTGGGTGTGTTTGCATTAAACCTGCCAGGCGCTTCCCAGTGGGTTATTCCAAATCAGCATCAGAGCACAGATGAGCTGCTTCATTTAGAGATATTATGATCCGTTTCCTTAGTATGGCTCATTTTTCTCCACCTCAGAACAGCCCCTTAGCTATGTCAAGTCTGCTTGATCTTAGAAAGAAAGGACTGGCAGTTCAAGCACTCAAGGCCTGGGGTCTAATCCCAGCTTTATTACAAGGTTTCCAGGAAAAGGACCTGAGCTGTAATCCTTTGCTAGCACACAGTTCTCCAGTCTAAACAACGATGCACTTCCCTCCGTCAGCTGCTACCCGCCAGGTGTGTTGGGGTCTACGTTTGCATCCAGAACAGTTATGTCAAGAAACGAGCTAGTAAGTGATCAGAAGGGAAAGCTAATCTTTCCTGAATTATTTTTCATCGTAAATGTTTCTGACCTATTTTAACAGAGGTTTAAACTAAAGGCTCTAGACAGAGTTCTGACAGCCACCAAGGATCACGTGGCCCATGACAAAGCCCTTATTTTTGAATCTTCTCAGGAATTGGCAGAGATTTTCCTTCCGTGTCTTCTGAGATCGTGTTCAGTATGCCAAGAAGTTCACGATATAGATCTTGCAATCTGCAATGAGAGAAGAGCATGGCAAAACCATCCCACTAGCAGGCTAGATCGCTTTCAAATACGATGGAAAATGTGAAGAGTCTATGTAAGAGGCATATGGCAAACAGCATGCCATTTAACTTACTGGATTAACAGGGGGGTGAATAAAGAGCAGTAAAAAGATCCCAAGTATTTTGCATGAAGTTGATTACCCTTTCTGTGCAGATTTGCCTTAACTTTCTTCTAAGTACTTTTCTCCCAAAGATCAGATGTGGTGAATGGCAGAAGTGCCATTGGATCAGCAATGGGCACCATGTGCACGGCAAAACACAGAAGCACTAGTCTTGATCAGTGCATCCAAAATATAGAGAAAAAATAACACGAAAACTCCTGAAAGGAACCCTGGTCCCCTGGGGAACTGGACAAATGGGAATTTTCAAAATAATAAGTCTAGGCTGGCAGTCTGATCTGTGGTCTAGGAGTCAGCAGCACTCCATAAATCATTTCCTGGTGCAGGCTGGAGGAGATGTGGTGAGCTACACTGAACCAGCCATTTGCATCTCTCTCTTGCAAATTGTTCCTCAGCGTGAAAAAGTTGTAGGACTCCAGACCAGATCTAGGGTTTTTTAAACAATAGGTACCAAATGTGATCATAGGCTTGCATCATATTAAGGTTAACCTAAGACATGTAAAACTCAGCAGCCTTCATTCGGGGGATTTGTGGGAGGTTTTTATGGTTATACGGTTTAAACTAACTGCCTGGGGTTAGTCATTTCCCTGAACAAGATCCAGAAAAGTCCATTGCTGAGACAAAGCCCAGGTCAGCTTGGACTACTGTAATAAGAAAGGCAAAATCTCCTACCTCCTCTCCTTCTGAATTTGGGTGCAAACAAATCCTCAAACCCTCCCACCCCCCATAAATCTGGGAAGCACTCTGCCCTCTCCCAGGGGTGCGGCGAGGCAAAACACAAGAGGCAGGTGGAGGATGGACGCTCAACTCTGGGGGACTTTCAGGGCTCTGAAAACCCAGGATACGCCAGGGCTGGGGAACCCAGGGCACTTGGACCTGAGATAAGCGGTGAAGGACGGCAAATTTGCTGCCAGGAAATTGAGCACATTTCTCATTGACGCAAATCCTGCCAGCTCACACAGCACATCCCACGCTGGCATTGCATGTCCTGCAGCTTTCCCTGCTGCTAGGAAATGTTGTCAGCCCTCCTAACAGGGATCTGTTCCTTCCCTACAGCAAATGCTATGGGTTTTCCTGATAGGAAAGGAGGAGGCTTGGGTACTGGGCCCCTGGATCACCAGCAGGCTGAGGGAGCTGCCCCCAGGATAGGACATGCTTGCACGCGGCCACCTCTATCCCTCACCCTGCATGGGGGGAGGTGGCATCGTCAGTCTGGCAGCACAGACCAGGGATGCTACTCTCTCCAGCCAAGTTTCTTTACGTGTTGGTTTGAACGCATTAGAAACCAGTCCCGTTTATAGCACGTGTCGTGTGTCAGTACCTTCCTAGGTTCTCAGTCCTGCTCATGCTGAGAACAGCAGCGTTTTCCCCAGGGAGAGTAGCCACAAAACATCTGCCTGCTCCAATAAAATAACCCAGTACACCAAAGAGGCATTTTGTATCTTCTGTCACGGCATCTCTCCCACACTCACCAGCTTCAAGGTTACCAACCTGTCCATCGTGTCATCCTGGAGGTCCAGGACTGTCAAATAAAGATCAATAAATGGGATGCTGGCGCAAAAATCGTCTACAATGATTGAATCGGAGTGGCGCAATGTCTTTTTGAAGTTATCCACAAGCTCATTGAAAGCTTTATGTTGAACGGTTTTCTGGTGTGAAAAAGAACAAGGAACAAAACGTGGTTAGCAAGAAGAAGGTGTTATATGGAGACTGTAACTCTCCAGGCACCTCCGAGGGCTTTGCGCTAGCTGATGGCGGCGTGCCGGAGCAGCATCCCTGAGGCCTCGGCTGTGCTGCAGGTGCAGTCTTGCATCCTGCGCCTGGCCCTGCCAACCAGCGGTGCAACAACCCCCTGGGCACACACCGAGCACCTGCTTGCACCAGTGCAAAATGAGAGATGGGCTGGAAACAGGGCAGCCTATAACTTCTGTTTCCACCGTGCTTTGGGAGTGCGGGCCGGGTGTTGCATGCCCCGGCACTGACAATCTGCAGCGCCTGTCAAGGGGGTACAACAGCCCAAGGAGACAGGTCCTGCCACTGTATAGATATCGTCACCTCTGGTGCTGGGGATGAGACTTAAATCGCTGACTGAAATCGGTCACTCAACATAGTATTTGGACCAGTGATTTTCTGGTTCAAACACAAGAGCACTCTCAGCTGAGCCATCCTGAAATGATTAAATTACATTTGCTAACAAGAATGAGCAGAAGAGTTGGGGGAAACAGGCAGTCACGTTGCTCTAATCATTTACATTTCAGTGACAGCTTTACTACATTTATTTCAAGTCAGCTTTGCAAAAGCCCTTTATCAAGCAAAGC